ATTACTCACTCCCCCTCCCGCCTGTGAAAACAATGGGGTCGGATGCTGCTACCCCTCCTCCATTCTATCTAATTATCTTTCTCCCTCATTCTATCTGTCTTTTTATCTCTGTCTCACAGGTACACATAAATACAAGTATACATAGTATAAATTACCTAGGATAACCCAAGAAACCCAGACAAAGTGCTATACTCTGCTTGAAGATGTGAGTAAAAGTGATGACGCAGTCTTGTGGCTCTCTGAGACAGAGAGCTAGATGGATAGACAGGGAGCTTGACAGACAGGCAAATAGACAGACAGAAATGTTAGTATACCAGCAAAAACAAAGGGAGGGAGATGTTTATCTCATCTTTTGGCATCAGCTCTACCCTCATTTACGCTCATCAAACGTCAGCACTTATCAGATGTTATCTCCCCTTATCTTGTTACTGTCATGGGTGAACATTTATTATTACATATTATTATTATTATGTATTATTATTATTATGTATTATTATTATTATGTATTATTATTATTATGTATTATTGTTATCATTACATATTCTTCTTCTTCCTCCACCTCCTCTTCTTCTTCCTCCTCCTCCTCCTCCTCCTCCTCCTCTTCTTCTTTCCTCCTCCTCCTCTGCCTCCTCCTCCTCTGCCTCCTCCTCCCTCTTGCCTCCTCCTCCTCTTGCCTCCTCCTCCTCTTGCCTCCTCCTCCTCTGATTCCTCCTCCTCTGCCTCCTCCTCCTCCTCCATTCTTGGAACAAGTTTGAAGAGCTTGTAGTTCATAATCACTATCACTATCATCACCAATGCTCACATCTGAGTCTGGGATTTTGGAAAATAGGAGTTTCCTCTTTGATTCTGGTACAACTGAACGTGAACAGATGGCCCAGCACCAGAGGTGGAAGGCTGTGGGTTGTCTGGGGTTTTCCTCACTATTACCCATATTATGGTCATTAGTTTCGGTCAAAACCTCACCAGAACCTTGAAACTCATCTTCACTGTCACTTCCATCTGTATTAGAACTGTCACTGGGGAAAAAAAGTGTCCCAATTCGCCGAGGAGTGAGGAACTTCTTACCACAGGGCACGGTGGAAATTGTGTACTATGACGGCATTCCCACAATGCACCACTGGGTCCCAGATTTTTTTCCTACTGCGCACACCCACCACACAGACCCATTCTCTCACATCTAGGCTTATCAGCCTTTTCCTGTGAGATTTGAGGCTGCTAGAATTTATGCGTACTAGTACGACAAAAACCCCTACGCGTAAGACGTACTAGTACGACCAAAACCCTCAAAGGGTTAATGGTGGGGCTGTCTGAAACTCAAGCAACAAGTTTAACTGCGCTTCTACAGTCATACCCTGATATTTTTTCGGATGTGCCGAAAAAATGTACGTTAGGTTATCATGCTGTAGATGTGGGAAACTCTAAACCTATTAAACTCTCCCCCTACAGAGCTAATCCTGAAAAGCAGAGACTACTTCAGCAGGAAATAGAATTTCTGTTAGAGCATGGGTTAGTGGAGGAGTCATCTAGTCCATGGGCTTCACCGTGCATCCTTGTTGTACAGACTACTGTAAGGTGAATGAGGTCACAATCGCAGATGCTTACCCTCTTCCTCGTCTGGATGACGTAATTGACTTTGTGGGTAAGGCTACTTTTGTATCCAAGTTAGATCTCCTTAAAGGTTACTATCAGGTACCTTTGATGGATAAGGCAAAGGAAATCTCTGCCTTTGTAATTCCAGGAGGTCATTAACAATATACAGTTACCCCCTTCGGAATGAAAAACTCCCCCTCTTCATTCCAGAAACTTATCCATCAGGCTATTAAAGGACTTGAAGGCACGGCAGTGTACCTGGATGATATTGTTGTGGTGTCTGATACTTGAGATCAACACCTACTTAGACTTAAGGCTCTTTTTGACACCTTTCAGAGTTCCCATTTAACAGTTAATTTATCTAAATCTTCCTTTGGCCAGGCCACTGTCACTTTTCTAGGCCATGAAGTAGGTAGTGGTAAAGTTGCACCTAAACTTGCTAAAGTTCTTGCCATTAAAGATTATCCAGTTCCATATGATAGGAAATCTCTTCAACGTTTCCTAGGCATGATAGGATTTTACAGAAGATTCTGTAAGAATTTCTCAGATATTGTAGCCCCTCTTACCTCTCTTACCAGTCATAAAGTTCCCTTTAATTGGACCTCAGTTGCTCAGGATGCTTTTGACAAAGCAAAAAGATTATTGTGTACTGCACCCATTCTTTTGTCTCCAGACTTCTCCAAACCTTTCTCATTACAGGTTGATGCTTGTGAGTCTGGGGTTGGGGCAGTACTGTTGCAAAATGGGGCCAAGGAGTTGCAGCCTGTAGCCTTCTTCTCAGCCAAGTTCCAGCCGCATCAGAGGACTTACTCTACCATTGAAAAAGAAGCCCTCGCGCTGGTACTGGCTTTGGAGCACTTTGATGTATACGTGGGACAAACTTCGCAGGTGGTCACTGTCTACAGTGATCACAATCCTCTAGTATATCTCTAAACCATGAAGAACCACAATACGAGGCTCATGAGATGGACGCTACGACTGCAACCCTATTTTCTGAGAATTGTACATATTGCCAGCAAAGAAAATATGTTGGCAGACTCTTTATCTAGAGTCTAACAATATTATTTATAATAATTATATATTAGGCTAGGATGTGTTAGGTTACTTGTGGTAACCCCTTCCAAGCTCTTTTTTTTTTTTTATCCCCTGGTGTGGGGTTTTTTTTTAGTGAGGGGATGTGGGCTACCGTCCGCCCGTGTCTTGGACCTAAGCTAGCCTGACTGTCTGCTGTCTCGCTCTGAGTTTAGGGTTTGGCTTTTTGTCATGTGAAAAGCTGAGCTCTATCTAAGAGTTGGATGGTTGAGAGGAAAGGCGGTCCCATTATTTTGTGCCATGGCGGCATGGTTATCACTGGGAGGTGGCAGCCTAATCCTGAGCCTTCTCGGGGGGGGGGGGGGGTGGCATGCAAAGAGTATGTAACCTTTATTCGGCGCATGTTCACACCCTCATTTACAGGCTATCTCCCCCAACCAGCGAACCAGGTTGCTAAGAGTTGATGATGGGGCCCCGTTGCTCAACCAGTACCCAGGTTCCAGCCAATGAGAAGATGATTTTGGCAATTGCAGAGGTTATGTGGGTAGCACTCTCCTGTCTGCCCTTGTCATTCCCATTCTAGAGCTGGTTGAAGCACGGTCTGCTCTCTAGTGGCTTCTATTCTGCCTTGCTTACCGTGGAGTGCACTAATACCTATTGCTGTACATAGTGTATATAGTGTACATACTTCTGTACTAAATTGGTGAAGGATAATATAAGTCAAAAGTTTTCTGCTGCATTTATTTTGCTCCCTTTACACCCAGGATAACAGGCCATTTGGACTCCTGGGTTGTAATAAGCATAGATCCAATTCCCTAGATCAAGAGCCTCTCACCAGCATGAACGAACCTCCCTTGAGGGGAAAGCTCGCATCTTGAATTTTTGCTCGTATCCAGAAACAAAAAATTGATTGAGCAACTGCTCATATCCTGAAAAACTGTATGGTGGGGCACTCATAAGCTGAGGTTCCACTGTATACTGTATGCACAATATTATAAATGTTGTGGATCCAGCAACTCTTTCATAAGCTCAGGTCAAAAATCAACCCATTCAGTCCATATATATTAAACTTTAATAATTTTTATAATATATTATAGGTCCATTTTATGTGAGCATGGGAGGAGTGTGTGGGTATTGAAGGGGGGCATTGTAGCAACCTAGTCTCCCAAAAAATCCCACTTTGCTCTGAGGTACAACTAACATCAGTAAGTGCAAGGTTCATAGTCCTACCTGCCCCAAATTATGTGTGTACAGACTTTCCTCACTTAACGACTTGCCTGTTTAACGACTGCCCAGTTTTACGACCAGCTGTCCAACCAGTGTACTGTGTGTATATTTTACTTTTTTATTGTATTTAATGCCTAGTTCTATTTTTAATGCAGCCTCTCCTCACTTAGAGATGTACTTGTTTACCAATGACTTGGACTTACAATGGGCTCTCTAACCAGTATACATACCTAAATAATACATATTAGAGCTGATTTCCTCTATTCTGTTTATTACAACATACAGTACTGAATAAACACTTAAGAATATATTAACAATGTTATAAATAGTGCAAAGGTGACAAAAAATACCAAAGACAGTTGACACAAACCCACTACCAATGTAGTATGCTCCTCACTTAGCTGCAAATTTGTTTACCAATGTGGTCTTAGGAATGGAACTCCATTGTTAAGTGAGGGGAGGCTGTGTACTAAAAATATTACAAAGGGTGCATAAGTGAGATTAAAACAATATTGACGGTTGACACAAACGATCTACCAGTACAGTATGCTTGAAATATCAGTAAAGGGCAGCTCCTCACTTAACGACCAATTTCCTTACTGACCAACTCTTGGGAACAGAATTTAGTTGTTAAGTGGGGACAACCTGTATAATAGTACATCTTGCACTTCATACACATAATTTCTCATATTATCATTTTTAATTTTTAATGATTTGGAGATCTTAAAAGAGTTTGTTTGCCATTTTTGGGATCCAAGGAACATAACCTTGTGTTCTCAATAATGTCTTCAGTTTGGGTCCTAGGAACCCAACCCAGTTTTCCTCATAAGATCCTCAGTTTGTTTTACATGCTTTCAGCTTGTGTGCAGTTTTCAGGCACTTAAGTACCGTGTTAAATGACAATCTACTGTATTTTTTATTTATTATATTTTTTATATACGATATTTTCCATTAATAAAATTTTCGACTTATGATATTTTTAACTTATGATACTGTTGGCTTACGATATTTTTGATTTACAACATTTTCAACTTACAACACTTTCAGTTTACAATATTTTAATTTACGATATTTTTGATTTATGATATTTTTTACTTTATTTTTGACTTACGATGTTTTCAACTGACTTTAAAACTAGTTACAAACCATACCTGGTTTTTGTTGCAGTGGACATTGAAGGACTTGGACTTGTCACCAATGGCCCTGACATCAGCCCTGGTGCAACAGGGGACATAAGTAGCCCTCTGGTGGTCATGGAAGTTTTTTCGCATCTTTCGTGAGAGCTTGGAGGTCAGGGGGCATACGGATCTTCGTGGTAGCACTGTTTTGGGCCCTGGGGGTTCTCTCTGTGCTGCTGTGGCCCCCTGGGGCACTGCTGGGAACAACCAGGGTGAGGCATTAGATGAATGAGGCACTGTATACCAGTTGAGACTGTTAGAAGAATGCTAGAGGTCTGCTAAAAGCCTGTTAGAGGTCTGTCAGAACCCTGTTTGAAGTCTGTTGAAGGCCAATTAGAAGTCTGTTAGAGACCTCTTAGGGACGTGTTCGAGGTCTGCTAGAATTCCTTCAGAAGTCTGTTATTAGAAGTCCATTAGAGGTCTGTTAGGGATCCATTAGAGGTCCATTAGAGGTCTGTTAGGGATCCATTAGAGGTCCATTAGAGGTCTGTTATAAGTTTGTTAGACTCACCTGGTATAAGGTCATACTCCTTCACTCCACTTCTCGGTCTCATCACTCCAACTTGTTTGCTTGACCCTCCAGGCTGGACCTGGAGCTGTAGCCTGGCACTCTGGTTATTGCCAGTGCTGGCTCTGTCCTGCAGCACCCTGTAAACAATCACTGTGTTAGTAAATACAGTGGACCCCCGCATAACGATTACCTCCGAATGCGATCAATTATGTAAGTGTGTTTATGTAAGTGCGTTTGTACGTGTATGTTTGGGGGTCTGAAATGGACTAATCTACTTCACAATATTTCTTATGGGAACAAATTCGGTCAGTACTGGCACCTGAACATACTTCTGGAGTGAAAAAATATCGTTAACCGGGGGTCCACTGTACTTCACTATTCTTCTACAGGAGCTGTGACTTGACTCCTGCAACCACAAATAGGCAAGTACATCATAAGAGTACATACAAGGCCCTACTGTATATACAAGGACATACTGCATATACAAGGACATACTGCATATAACTGCATATACAAGGAACTACTGTATATACAAGGCCCTACTGTATACACAAGGACATACTGCATATAACTGCATATACAAGGAACTACTGTATATACAAGGGCCTACTGTATATACAAGGACCTGCTGTATATACAAGACACTACTGTATATACAAGGACCTACTGCATATACAAGTACCTACTGTTTACCTGGAGAGAGTTCTGAGGGTCAACACCCCCCACGGCCCGGTCTGTGATCAGGCCTCACGGTGGATCAGGGCCTGATCAACCAAACTGTTACCGCTGGCTGCACGCAATCCAACATATGAACCACAGCCCAGCTGGTCAGGTACCGACTTTAGGTGCTTGTCCAGTGCCAGCTTGAAGACAGCCAGGAGTCTATTGGTAATCCCCCTTATGTATGCTGGGAGGCAGTTGAACAGTCTCGGGCCCCTGACACTTATTGTATGGTCTCTTAACGTGCTAGTGACACCCCTGCTTTTCATTGGGGGGATGTTGCATTGTCTGCCAAGTCTTTTGCTTTCGTAGTGAGTGATTTTCGTGTACAAGTTCGGTACTAGTCCCTATAGGATTTTCCAGGTGTATATAATCATGTATCTCTCCCGCCTGCGTTCCAGGGAATACAGGTTTAGGAACCTCAAGCGCTCCCAGTAATTGAGGTGTTTTATCTCCGTTATGCGCGCCGTGAAAGTTCTCTGTACATTTTCTAGGTCAGCAATTTCACCTGCCTTGAAAGGTGGTGTTAGTGTGCAGCAATATTCCAGCCTAGATAGAACAAGTGACCTGAAGAGTGTCATCATGGGCTTGGCCTCCCTAGTTTTGAAGGTTCTCATTATCTGTATATAAAAGTACTTACTGTATATACAAGTACCTACTGTATGTACAAGGGCCTAATGTATATACAATGGTTTACTGTATATACAAGGGCCTAATGTATATACAAAGGCCTAATGTATTTAGCAGACTCTACTGCATATACAAGGACCTACTGTATATACAAGGGCCTAATGTATATACAACAGTTTACTTTATATACAAGGGCCTAATGTATTTATAAGACTCTACTGTATATACAAGGGCAAACCATACCACGGATGGGGTTTGAACCTGCGATCAGAGAGTCTCAAAACTCCCGACCGTTGCATTAGCCACTGGGCCAGCTAGCTGGAATTTTGAGACTCTCTGACCGTGGGTTCAAACCCCACTCATGGTACGGTTTGTTTGCAATCGTGTCATTACAATTTTGTGAGTCATGTTGATGGATTTCAGGGGACTTGAGCTAGAGTTCATCATGGCCATGCTAGCAAGAGATTTATCTGTAAAAACTTGCATTTGTGTTCACAGTGGTGCCTATGCTAACCTTCCTATGGTATAGAGGTTTGACTCCTATGGTCTGGAGTTTTGAGACTCTATGACCATGGATTCAAACCCCACCCGTGGTATGGTTTGTAAGCAATTGTGTCATTACGATTTCGTGAGCCAAGTTATACAAAGCCTAATGTTTATACAAGACCCTACTGTACAGAAAGGCCTAATAAGATAAGATAAGATTTAGTTCGGATTTTTAACCCCAGAGGGTTAGCCACCCAGGATAACCATAAGAACATAAGAACATAAGAAAGGAGGAACACTGCAGGAGGCCTGCTGGCCCATACTAGGCAGGTCCTTTACAATTCATCCCACTAACAAAACATTTGCCCAACCCAATTTTCAATGCCACCCAAGAAATAAGCTCTGATGTGCAAGTCCCACTCAAATCCAACCCCTCCCACTCATGTACTTATCCAACCTAGATTTGAAACTACCCAAAGTCCCAGCCTCAATAACCCAACTAGGTAGACTGTTCCACTCATCAACTACCCTATTTCCAAACCAATACTTTCCTATGTCCTTTCTAAATCTAAATTTATCTAATTTAAATCCATTACTGCGGGTTCTCTCCTGGAGAGATATCCTCAAGACCTTATTAATATCCCTTTTATTAATACCTATCTTCCACTTATACACCTCGATCAGGTCTCCCCTCATTCTTCGTCTAACAAGTGAATGTAACTTAAGAGTCTTCAATCTTTCTTCATAAGGAAGATTTCTAATGCTATGTATTAATTTAGTCATCCTACGCTGAATGTTTTCTAACGAATTTATGTCCATTTTGTAATACGGAGACCAGAACTGAGCTGCATATTCTAGGTGAGGCCTTACTAATGATGTATAAAGCTGCAGTATGACCTCTGGACTTCTGTTGCTTACACTTTTTGATATAAATCCCAGTAATCTATTTGCCTTATTACGTACGCTTAGGCATTGCTGTCTTGGTTTAAGGTTGCTGCTCACCATAACCCCCAAGTCCTTTTCGCAATCTGTATGGCTAAGTTCTACATCATTTAACTTATAAGTACTAGGGTTTATGGGCACTCCCAAGCTTCAGAACCTTGCATTTATCTACATTGAACTGCATCTGCCACTTTTCTGACCAAGAATAGAGTTTGTTTAAATCCTCCTGAAGTTCCATAACATCTATGTTTGAATCAATTATCCTACCTATCTTTGTGTCATCGGCGAATTTGCTCATATCACTAGTAATTCCCTCATCAAGATCATTGATATATATTATAAACAACAACGGGCCCAAGACTGATCCCTGTGGAACGCCACTTGTTACAGATCCCCACTCGGATTTAACCCCATTTATGGACACTCTCTGCTTCCTGTCAGTGAGCCATGACTCGATCCACGAGAGCACTTTTCCCCCAATGCCATGAGCTGCCACTTTCTTTAACAGTCTATGGTGCGGAACTCTATCAAATGCCTTACTAAAATCTAAGTAAATAATATCAAATTCTTTATTGTGGTCAACAGCCTCAAAAGCTTTACTGAAGAAAGTTAATAAATTAGTTAGACAAGACCGGCCTCTTGTGAATCCATACTGAGTATCATTAATCAAGCTATGCTTATCGAGATGGCTTCTTATAATCTCAGCTATAATTGACTCTAGTAATTTGCCTACAATTGAGGTCAGGCTTATTGGGCTTATTGGACTGTCTAACTTATTTCCATTGGGGTCCTTAATCTTGTCCCCCAGGATGCGACCCACACCAGTTGACTAACACCCAGGTACCTATTTGCTGCTAGGTGAACAGGACAACAGGTGTAAGGAAACGTGTCGGAATGTTTCCACCCGCTGGGAATCGAACCCGGGCCCTCCGTGTGTGAAGCGGGAGCTTTAGCCACCAGGCCTAATGTATATACAAGATCCTACTGTATACACATGGGCCTACTGTGCAAGGGCCTACTGTATATACAAGGGCCTACTGTATATGCAAGGGCCTAATGTATATACAAGGACCTACTGTACATTCAGTGAGTAGAATGCTTGACTACACTGCCAGGGTAAGTTTCAAGCCTATCAGAGGTTGACTTACCGAGGTACCAGAGTTGAAAAGACCATACCTGATACCTAAGATCAAGAGCCTTTGCTCCATCACCCAGGGATCAAGAACCTCCTCCAATGCCCTCCAGAATGACCACACTCACCTGTTCACTCCTCTGGATGACCCTCCAACTTCCACTGGCTCTCCAGTGGCCTGTGCCACCTGCACCGGTCCTCCAGCAGCCTCCGCCACCTCCGTCAGCCCTCCGCCAGCCTCTGCCACCACCACTGACCCTCCAGCAGCCTCTACCTCATCTAGGTCATCATCGGAGTCATCACATTCACAAACGGAGTCATCGTCCTCCTCCAGAGACTGGTGTGACAGCTCCTCCATCCTCCGCTTCTCTCTGAAACATTAATATCATTATTATTAATCTACCTGGGCTTGTGCAACATTGCAAGCTCTTGATAAAGCATTGATTGAAAAACGGAAGGCACATATATAAATAAGGTGTCCCGTAGCTCGATCAGTAGCACACTCAGCTCACACACTGAGGTTCAGGGTTTGAATCTCCTCCGATATGGCTGGAAAACATTAGAGAAGTGATTCCATAAGACACCTGCTGTCCCTGTTCACCCATCAGTATAAAATGGGTACCTGGGTGTTAGTGGACTGGTGTGGGTCACATCCTGGGTGTTAGTGGACTGGTGTGGGTCACATCCTGGGTGTTAGTGGACTGGTGTGGGTCACATCCTGGGTGTTAGTGGACTGGTGTGGGTCACATCCTGGGTGTTAGTGGACTGGTGTGGGTCACATCATGGGTGTTAGTGGACTGGTGTGGGTCACATCCTGGGTGTTACTGGACTGGTGTGGGTCACATCCTGGGTGTTACTGGACTGGTGTGGGTCACATCCTGGGTGTTACTGGACTGGTGTGGGTCACATCCTGGGTGTTAGTGGACTGGTGTGGGTCACATCCTGGGTGTTAGTGGACTGGTGTGGGTCACATCCTGGGTGTTAGTGGACTGGTGTGGGTCACATCCTGGGTGTTAGTGGACTGGTGTGGGTCACATCATGGGTGTTAGTGGACTGGTGTGGGTCACATCCTGGGTGTTACTGGACTGGTGTGGGTCACATCCTGGGTGTTACTGGACTGGTGTGGGTCACATCCTGGGTGTTAGTGGACTGGTGTGGGTCACATCATGGGTGTTAGTGGACTGGTGTGGGTCACATCCTGGGTGTTACTGGACTGGTGTGGGTCACATCCTGGGTGTTACTGGACTGGTGTGGGTCACATCCTGGGTGTTACTGGACTGGTGTGGGTCACATCCTGGGTGTTAGTGGACTGGTGTGGGTCACATCCTGGGTGTTAGTGGACTGGTGTGGGTCACATCCTGGGTGTTAGTGGACTGGTGTGGGTCACATCCTGGGTGTTAGTGGACTGGTGTGGGTCACATCATGGGTGTTAGTGGACTGATGTGGGTCACATCATGGGTGTTAGTGGACTGGTGTGGGTCACATCCTGGGTGTTACTGGACTGGTGTGGGTCACATCCTGGGTGTTACTGGACTGGTGTGGGTCACATCCTGGGTGTTACTGGACTGGTGTGGGTCACATCCTGGGTGTTAGTGGACTGGTGTGGGTCACATCCTGGGTGTTAGTGGACTGGTGTGGGTCACATCATGGGTGTTAGTGGACTGATGTGGGTCACATCCTGGGACAAAACTGACCAAATTTGCCCGAAATGCTCAGCATAACAAGGGGCTTTCTATATAGTAGTATGTCAGTGATGTCAGCTAGGCATCCAGGAGCTAGTTCTAAAGTCGAAATGTTCGAAAGTTGAACCAATATTTCCCATAAGAAATAACTGAAATACAATTAATCTGTTCCAGAAACCCAAAAATATTCACAAAAAAAATATTTTATAGAAATTATATTATAGATTTACATACACACAACAAACATACATAGTACAATTAGTAATAAATTTAAGTAAACATATAAAACAACATCTTTACTTACCTTTATTGATGATTGGTGATGGCATCTGGAAGATAGAGATGAGGAGAGACAGAGTTGGGGTTAGTGTTTGGAAGGGGAATCCCCCTCCATAAGAACTTTAGGTATCAAAGCCTTCTCTGGGGTTACTTCTCTTCTGTCTTTTAATGCCACTAGGATCAGCTTGAGAGTCACTGGACCCCTGTCTCACAAAATAACTGTCCACAGTCCTCTGTACCTGGTGCCTTTTTAACATTTCCCTGAAGTGGGACATGGTTCTGTCACTGAACTTTTTGCAGAGATGGCTTGTTTCAGCTTGGTCAGGGTGATACTTTTCAACAAAAGTTTGCAACTCATTCCACGTTGCACGCATGTCCTGGCAAGCTCAGCAAGTCTCACACATCTTTCATTTTCTTTTTTGTATTATATCCGTCTTCACATCAATGGTGTTTCTCACTTTCTTTACCACAGGGGTACCACTAGCAAGTTTCTTTGGGCCCATGGTAGCTTATTTCACAGTCGCACAAGCACTAAACACAATGAATTAATTATGAAATGTTTGAATGAGCGCTCAGGTTAGTATTCACTCAAGCATCAACAAAGCCATACTGCTCATGATGCCTGCACAAGGACACGGACAGAGTGGGCTGGAGGACAGGTCTGGTGCCTGGAGTAACAGGTCTGGTGCCTGGAGTAACAGGTCTGGTGCCTGGAGTAACAGGTCTGGTGCCTGGAGTAACAGGTCTGGTGCCTGGAGTAACAGGTCTGGTGCCTGGAGTAACAGGTCTGGTGCCTGGAGTAACAGGTCTGGTGCCTGGAGGTTCAAAAGACAGAGTTTGATACTCGGAACAAAATTGGTTCAAAAAATGCGGTCGAAACTCGAAAAGTTCAATGATCTGTACGTTCGAAACTCAAGGGTCCACTGTACATGAATTTATAGTAAATAAAGATATTATATTATTATTATTCTTGTATATATATATATATATATATATATATACAAAAACAACCACTGTGAAAGAATAGAGAAATTCCAAGTGCTTTCGTGACTACTCACATTATCAAGGAACAATGAAAGTAATACATCGAAAGAAGGCATATAAAGGGTCTAGCCCACACCTCACTATCACATCCCACAACAAAGCAACACCTGATGCGCTACTCATAAGGGAACACTGCAGCAGGCCTGCTGGCCCAACTAGACAGGTCCTTCACACAACCCACCAACAACCGTTTCTACCCAAGAATTAAGCATTTTAAAATTTATTTGTCCAATGTATTATTAAATTCTTTCCAAATACTATTAATTATAAATGGATCTAATTTATATAAACCCTCAAACATTCTTTAAGTCTTATGATACACTTAATAACAATAAAAATTTGCGCCTTACCAAAGCAGACAAAATAAATGCAATAGTAATTATGAAAGAAAATGATTACCAAGAAAAAACGAATAATCTCTTAGATGATACTGAAAGTGTGTAGCAGTAGCCTATACAATATAGCCTAGATGTGTAGCTGTAGCCTACACCATATAGCCTAGATGTGTAGCAGTAGTCTACACCATATAGCCTAGGTGTGTAGCAGTAGTCTACACAATGTAGCAGTAGTCTACACCATATAGCCTAGATGTGTAGCAGTAGTCTACACCATATAGCACTAGGTGTTGTAGCAGTAGCATTCTCCATTTAGCACCCTTGTACTGTGTAGCAGTAGGTCTACTACATATATGCCTAGGTGTTGTCAGCAGTTGCCCTACACCATATAGCCTAGATGTGTTGCCAGTAGTCTACACCATATTGCCTTGGTGCTGTAGCTGTTGCATTCACCATATAGCTAGTGTGTAGCAGATAGTCTACTACCATATAGCATAGGTGTTTAGCTCGCTAGCCTACACCATATAGCTTGAAATGTGTAGCAGTAGAGTATTACACCATATAGCCTAGGGTGTGTAGCAGTTGGCCTTCCACCATCTTGCCTTGGTGTGTAGCAGTTAGCCTACACCATATTGCATGGTGTGTAGAAGAAGCCTCACCATATAGATTGAATGTGTGCAGTAGGCTACTCCTTTAGCTAGGTGTGTTAGCAGTAGCATAACAAAATTTACCACTAGGTCGTGTAGCAGTAGCCTACACTATGTAGCATAGGGTGTGTAGCAGTAGGTCCTTACACCATATAGCCTAGGTGTGTAGCGTTAGCCTAACACCCATTAGGCCTAGGTGTGTAGCAGTAGCCGTACACATATATGCTAGGTGTGTAGCAGATGACTACACAATGTCAGCGGTAGTCTAAACCCATATAGATCTGGTGTGTAGACAGTAGCCTACACAATGTGCAGTAGTCTACACCATACTAGCCTAGGTGATGTAGCAGTAGCCTACACCTTATAGCCTAGGTGTGGTTGCAGTAGCCTACACCATCATAGCCTAGGTGGTGTGTAGCAGTAGATCTCAACCATATAGCATAGGTGTGTAGCTGTAGCCTACACCATATAGCATAGGTGTGTAGAAGTAGCCTACAACATATAGACTTGGTGTGCTAGACAGTAGCTACTCCTTTATTGCTAGGTGTTTGTAGAAGTAGCCTACACCATATAGCCTAGCGTGTGTAGCAGTAGCCCTTTAAACCATATTGCTCCTAGGGTTGTAGCAGTAGCCTACACAATGTAGCAGTAGTTCTACTACACTATAGCCTAGGTTGCTGTTGAGTAGTCTACAACCATATGCCTCAGGTGTGTAGCAGTAGCTACACAATGTAGCAGTAGTCTACACCACTATAGCCTACGGTGTGCGCTCGCAGTAGCCTACACTTATGTAGTCTGTAGTTATTAGTCTACACCATATAGCCTAGTGTGTAGCAGTAGCCTACACAATGTTAGGCAGTAGTCTACACCATTTAGCCTAGGTGTGTCAGCTAGTAGCATTCACACATGTAGCTGTAGGTCTAAACCTATAGCCTAGGTGTCCTGTTGCAGTTGACTTCACAATTGTAGCTGTACGTTCTACACCATATAGCCTAGGTGTGTTGAGTAGCCTACAATATGTAGCAGTAGTCTACACCATATACCTAGTTTGTGTAGCAGTAAGCCTACACAATTGTAGATAGCAGTAGTCTCACACATATAGCCTAGGTGTGTAGCAGTAGCTTCACAATGTTAGCAAGTTTAGTCTACACCAATATAGGAATAGCGTCGTGTCAGACAGTAGCCTTAACAATGTAGCAGTAGTCTACACATATATGCCTAGGTGTGTTCGCAGTAGCATACACCATATAGCATAGGTGTGTTGCAGTAGCCTACACAATGTCAGCCTGTAGTTCTACACCATATAGCCCTAGGTGTGTAGCTGTAGTCTTAAAAATAATAGGCCTTGGTGTTGTACAGTAGCCTACACAATGGTGCAGCTAGTCTTAACCTTTAGCCTAGGTGTTGTGTGGCAGTAGCCTTCAGCAATGTAGCTGTAGTCTACAACCATTATAGCCTAGGTGTTGTGTTAGCAAGTAGCCTCTTATCAAAATGTTAGCAGTAGTCTACATCCCATATTGCTCCCTAGGTGTGTGTAGACAGT